GAGAAGGGGGCACGATTTCCAGACCCAGTTTACTGAAGAAGCTACTTCAGCTAACAGTTGGTTGAACGAGTACCTAGTAGCCACAGCTAAGCTAGCTAGCAGCTGCCGCACCGTGTGTCCTCAAACGCCTCGGTAGAGATTGGCGTGACGTTATTGAGAGGAGCTGTTTGCTTTTTTTATGTAAACCTAACCAGTTTATCAACTAGTTAACTCTCCAAACTGCTGTCACTGTTAGCCTCACCACCACTGCTGCCACACAGCTTAGCCCTGTGGTTATAACCTGGCTAATACAGGCAGTGGAGGTACATAAACAAGAGGCAATCTGCTGCCCAATTTGCTTTAACCTCAGTGAGCAATGGCTATCACTCTATGATTAATTAGAAAGTTAGTATTTAATTAACCTGCATCTTTATGTACCCCCATGTTTACATCTGCCACATGCCTGTCTGCATTAGCATGTGACATTCAAATCTATCAGTACTTTCGGTCAGGGCTTCCCCTGGTTACTTTTGTGTTGTGGTTCCCTGTACTGCAGGTGTTTTGATCAAATCCCGCCCTCAATAAGTTTCACATTAACCCATGCTTTTGCTTCAGTTTGGTCAATAACTGTAAATGCAGTGGTGGAAATTTAACATAGTACATTAACCCAAGTACTTTACAGATTCAAGGTACTTGAACTTGATGAATTTATTATTTTTGCTACTTTATACTTCTCGTCCTCAACATCTTAGGGACAAATGTACTTTTTACTCCACCTCATTTATCTGGCAGCTTTAGTTTCTTTATAGATTATCAACATTCTGCTCCTTTAGTTAAACTTCTTGGATAAGCTAGTAAGTACATTGTCACAACGCCGAAAAACAGTTTTTCCTGACACCATGAAAAGTTGACTTTTTAGAGATGCATGGTTCCCACAGGACAGTGATGCTGCAAACTATTAATGATCTTAGAGATCATTGCTGAAGTTGAAGCTACCCAAAATTATATAACGGCGTTAAAATAAGCACAATTTTAAACATCTGCAGCAGTAAAATGCAACATTGATACCAGCTTTAATCCAAAACATATATACAAGTAAAACACAGACAGGTAACACTTTACTGCCCAATGAGAACTGTTACTTATGCTACTTAAAGTACATTTTGTTGATAACGTTTACATACTTTTGTTTAAGTAAGGGATTGAATGCAGGGCCTTAACTTGTAGTGGAGTATTCTCACAGTTAAGTATTGGTACTTTTTATTTAAGTAAAGGATATTATGTCTTCCACCACTGAGCACTTTATGAAGCTTCTATCTGCTTCTATCCTCTATCCCCTTAGTGGGGCTCATGGGTTTGAAATAGACAGAGATGTTATTATTCAGCATATCTAACTTAAGTCTTGGTTGTTTTTCTAGCTTTGGACAAAACCGATTAAAACACCACAACATGAATGAGTTGTTACAGGGTGAAGTGTGCCTTCAGAGGTTTACTGGGTCATGTTTGAATAAACAGCATTTATAAGGTCAACAATGGACTTATTCTGAAGTGAATACTGGTGGAAGTCATTGGTGTCTCATTTCCACTTTTGTGTTTCTTACTTATCTTATTTCAGGATGTGTTTCTAATGATCAGACGTCACAAGACGACCATCTTCACAGATGCCAAAGAGTCTACCACAGTCTATGAACTGAAGCGCATTGTGGAAGGCATTTTAAAGAGGCCACCTGAAGATCAGAGGCTTTATAAGGTAAATTACATGAAGCAGCTTTCAGATCAGAATTTCTTCTGTTCAGAGAGTTGCTTGGGAACAAATACAGTTATTTATAAATTACCACAACATTTTAACAGACTCTGCAATATTCCATTGTGTGCGCTGTCTGTGAACTTAACTTATCTTAAACAGATCTTATCTGTCTTATCTAATGTCATGACCAGTTAGTGAACTGCATACATATAGCTAACAGCTTCTTGGTTTGTTGTTGTTGCTCACACCCACCTGAGTTATGTTGAGAGCAGTATTGGTATTTACTTTCATACTGTAACACTGTCTGATTAAGGTGAAACGATATGAATTTGTCCACATTCAAAGAATTAGCTATACCATTAAGAGCTGCAACACTTAGTCAACAACTAATCTGCAACTTTTAATAAGAAATTAATTGTTTCAGCCACTTGCAAGCTAAAATGCCACACATTACTTTTGGTCAGACAACACAAGCAAACTGAAGACATCAAAACAGCCTTGGAGAAGCCATAAATGGCAAATCTTTACCATTTCCTTATTTACGTTCTTGACAGTTAATCAAAAACAGTCAGCAGATCAATTGATAATGGAACTTATTTGCAGTCCTAATACCGTTTATGAGTTAGTGAGCCCCAAAGTATCGCTGGTTGTTTTAGAGTGTAGTATTTTTATGGGATTATTTCATCAATGTTATGAAGTGCGTTGTTTTTTTTAGGTTCACTAGAGTACTAAAAATAGACACCCCTGTCTATTTTATCTATAATACACTCTTAATTAAGGTTATTATATCATACTATATGTTGATGTTGCAACATAACATCTTACCATATCATCCACCTGTGAGAAAGTGTTTAAAAGCCAAATGCAGAGCTTGGATGATGTTTTATCATCATGTAATTTAGCCAACAGTTAAATGAGTCTTTCACCATCCAGTTTAAAACTAAACTGACACTGATACAAACTTGTCACAAGTCGTTTTCACAACAGAGAGCACCGTGTGAAACTGATGAGTTCTCACTCATCTCACTGACCTGGCAACTTGGTCTCACAAATCTCTTCAAGTGCTTTGAACACCATCTCTGAAAAGGCTGAAGATGTGCACTGTGTAACATGAAAAATAAAATGTATTGAATGAATAGCTGCTACTTTTATCTTTTTAAAATGTTCTTCACCAGGATGACGTGATGCTTAATGATGGTCAAACTCTTGGAAATTGTGGCTTTACAAATCAAACAGCCCGACCTCAGGCCCCAGCCACAGTGGGATTAGCTTTCCGTTTGAGCGGTAAGTAGTTCACCTTTTAAAAGGCTCCATATTAGACCATTTTCACTTAGTGTTGTTGTCGTGGCACCATCCATTCACTTGTGTTATTTTGAGCTGAGCAGGTTGTTTTGAACTGTAGTAGCTCTGATTTTTTTGTGTTTAGATTTACTCTGTCATGTTGTCACTTTCTCTGTCGTTCCCTCAGATGATTCATTTGAGCAGCTGAGGATCGAGCCTTTCTCCACTCCCCCAGAGCTCCCTGACGTCATGAAGCCCCAGGACTCGGGCAGCACAGCCAACGAGCAGGCTGTACAGTGAGGGAGGGGCCCTGCAAAACTAGAGGGACGCACAGGGGGTCGGAGGGAGGATGCACGGGGGGAGGGAGGGGATTAATTTTGGGAAGTGATGCCTCCGCGGGTGAGTTTTACCTTGCCGACGACAGATCTTCAGCTGGGCATAAACAATTACAAACATGGATTCCCCTTGTTGTAAATGTGATGGCAGGTGCTTCAAAGTGGTTCATTTGTCCTGAAATCAGTGAACGCATGCTAGATAAATTGATAATTTCACACAAGACCCTTCAGAGATACCTGACGGACTTGTCACGACACTGTCAGTCATCCATGGGATTGGTAACGGCTGAACATAAAAAAATTGTACCTCGTATTTAATTAATTCTAGTCTTTATTTGGTGTAAGGTTATTGCTGCCTTACTTGTGTTTTTTATTTTGCTGGCTTAAATGTGGGAGTTGATAAGGCGTGACATTTTTAGGCTTTATGTTTGTGTGTTTCTTTATTAAACTATTACTAGGATTTAACATGTTTTTGGTCTTTGGCCTGGATATGTGTTGCGACAATAGCTAGGAGTTTGTGAATTTCTAAGTTACTATCTGTATTTCAAAAACTTTCGAACAGTATGAATCTGAAATAAAATAGATTCACTTGTTGGCGGGAGATCTGGCATTAAGATGAACATTTCTTGGTACTTAACCAATCAGTAGTTGTAGTTTTCATACTGTAGCTGCTCACAGAAGTTACTGAGACTGACTGCACTCAGTTGTGGGTATCTACAACACATGTAACACTGGCGTGGACCTTGTGTTGAAAATGAAATGTCTGACAGTCAGAGCAGCAATCAAAAATTAAATAATAGTGATTGTTGATTATTTTTTACCTTACTTATGAAGGTGGGGACTAACCAACTTTTCTCTCCAATGTTTGATTGTAGCCAATGACATCTTGGAGATGTTGATGAAATCTTCATGACTTGAATCAGTGGGCCTAAATGTTTCCAGTAAACAGTTTTAAGTTAAACAGGTAGTTTGTTACATGATGAGTTTTGAACTGTGTCTGTGAGTAGTGGGCTGCACATTTGACTCTCTATTATCCAAAAAAAAATCACTGCCCCTTTACATTTAGTTCATGCTGCAATTTGTGTTGTATTATACCCCATTAATACCTTAATACACATTGTTTTTCTAAAATTAAAAATGAATTAAAAATGAACTCATTTGCACATCAGAAAATTCAAATACAACACTGGATCTCACAATCTAGAATAATAAAATTTAAAAACAACAAAACCTCCATTAGTTACAACAGGAAAGTATATTCTGACCTGGGGGTGTTGAATGAAATTGTTGACATTAACATTTGCAAATTGAGGCTGTTAAACAGTGGGACATGATCAAAGTTGCACTTGTAACTGATTTAACATTAAAACAACTGTTTTTCACCCCTGTGCACTGTGGTGTTTTTTTTACGTGTAGTTAGTCAAAGGTAAATGTATTAACACAATATTATATTATGTCGTGCACACTCAAAACACAGGAATTCAGTTATTGATTATGCATTGCATTTGTTAACAGCAGTTGATCATATGGTGTTTAGCATTTTCTTAAAGTGCAGATTAAATGTCACTGTTATATTCAATAACATGAGCTAGCACAAAGGTTCATGGCAGCTTGATGAAGGGAGCAGCAATGAATTAAAACGGCAGCCAATCACATAGGTTGGGCTGAGTTGTACTATCACTGGGGTGTGTAGACCTCAAAGTTTGTAAGGCGACAACTTGTGGATTTGTTCTGCTCGTGTTTATCACCTTATATTGGGAGAGCTAGTAAAAAAGATGTGTGGAAAGTGTAACTTAATTGGGACTGCAATACATTAATTTCCAATTAATTTGTTTCCTAAATCAATATTTATTTGGTAAATAAGATGTCAGAAAATACTGATACATGCCTATCACAATATGCCAGCACCTAAGATGACGTGTTTATATCAATTGTTTTGTCCGACTAAATGTACAAAAGAAAAGATATTAAATTTACAATCATAAAAGAAGCATCAAATCCTCCCATCTGACAGGCTGAACCCAGAGGATCTTTGGCATTTTTGCTTGATAGATTTTCTACTGGTTGACTAATTGATTAATTGACGAATGTTTCACCTCCAAAACTTAAGTTGATGCTTAACATACGTCAAATAAAACTCTAAAAAAAAACACTTTACAAACGTTGCAAAAAGTTGTGTTCGTTGTTCTAAAAGTACTGAACTTTCCGAAGGCACTTGAAGGCAGCGTACGCTTAAGCTAACTAGCAGGCTAGCTTCCTATATTGCTAGGGACGGTAATCCGTAGTGGCAACACATAACTTGTTTAACCGTTACACGCACGAAGAAATGATGACACACAACTTAACACTGACTAAGCGAACATAGCCCACAACAAATGGAGGTCAGCGAGCACGTTTTATCGGCGGGCCGAGCCGTGCTGGACATGGTGGAGCGGGAGTGGCAGCCGCTTTCCCCGAGCGAGTTGGACCAGCGGCTGGACCAGGCGGTGGAGGAGATCCTGGAGGCTGACCTGATAGCAAGACTCAAAACTCAGCCTCATCCGACTGTTTACGTTCAGTTACTGCAGAGTCAAACTAATGTGCAGCCTCAAGTTTTACAGACGACAACATCCAGCAGTGCCCCGGAGGAAGAGACACCAGAGCCCCGGGAACCGTTGGAGACCGTGGACAGCGCTGCAGTGAAGGTATCAGCCTGTCCTCAGTGATCCGTTGATCTGTTAAAGGGTGGTACGATCATTTTACTAACTGTACTTTCACAGTTCTAGGATATTCTTAAGTTATAGATCTACATTGTTTTGCTAGGATAAGAGGAATTGTCCTGAGGCCACCATGATACTAGAAATTTAAAAAAAAAATAACTGAATAATTCATTTACAATCATTGACTACAAAAACTAGCAGAGACAAAGTCCCTCCCAAAGTTATACCTACACTAAGGTATCTACAGTATGTGCATATACAAATAAATACACATGCACATGTACAGTAGATAAACCATAGACTGTATGACATGAACATACATTTCATCACTTTAACAAAATGAAACTCTCGTCCTTTGTCCTAATTTAGACCAAATTTTAACAGTGTATGCCTTGGCTTTGCCTAAAGTTTTTTATACCTGCCCACTGTTGTAACTAAATATTCCAGTCATTAAAGTAACTATCTTTGAGATAAATATGAGAGCTCTTCCATTTTTCTGCTGTCAGACCTGTAGGACACACTCTTTGTTGTAACCATGATGAATTAAGCATCAATTGTCACTATTTTCATCATGGTTATGATCACATTATGGTACTTTTACAATCATTTTCACCTGAAATACCTACTTAATCTAATGACTGACTTTTCTCTCTCATCAGCACATCACAGACCTGCTTCAAAGCTCCAAATCCAGGGCTCGAATGGCCGGACGGGCTCGCTTGTCCCTGTCCCACACTGTCCTGCTGTCCCTCACCCTGCTCTCTGAGCGCATCAGCTACCGCTCTGTGTCCCGCCGCTTTCACCTGGAAAAAGGAAACATCCACAGGATCTTCTTTTCTTTCTGTGAGCGCATAAACTCGCTGGAAGAGAGGCAAATCAGATGGCCAGTTGGTGGGTTGACTTCAGTGTTGTTTGTGGGGTATGATCAGCACAATGTTGTCAGTGATTTGGGTGAAAAAATGGTGTTTAAAATAATGATGGTGGGGGTGTATCCTTTCTACTCTCCAGACAGCGAGGCTTTAGAGGCCCTTTTCCCACTTTGCAGTCCAGAGAAGGAGCAGGAGGAGCTTCCAGGTGTGCCTCAGGTCCTGGGAGTGTTGGGACACACTCGCATCCCTATCCGCCTGCCTATAGGAAAACATGATGTGGAGAGCACAGTGCCTGAGGTGAAGAGGATGAAGAAGGAGGCCCATCCTGACTCTTGGCTAAACCTGCAGCTTATATGTGATCGTAAAGGCAGGTTCCTACACTGCAGAATCAGTAAAGGATCAGACGTGGACAGAGGCATCACTCTGAGAGACAAACTCAAACAGCATCCTGAACTGATGCCCTCTGGCTCCTGCCTCGTGGCCAGAGCGGGCTACCCGCTCACAGCTCAGATTTTAACCCCATACTCAGGAAGTCAAGGACTAAAAGAGGAACTCTTTAACAAGACGCTTGAGGGACATTTTCACATCCTGGATCAGGCTGTTGCCAACCTGAGAGCCAGATTTCAAAGGCTCAAGTATTTGGATATTGGAAACTATGACAGAGCCAGAGCTGTTGTGCTGACCGCCTGTGTGTTGCACAACGTGTTTTTGGACATGGGACAAGTGATTCAAGGGGATGTTGAGAAAGAGGAAGCCATAACTGGAGAGGTAGAGGGGGAGGTAGATGATGAGGGCATTCAGAGACGAGACGCCATCTCAGATTTGTTGTTTAAAACTGTTGATTCTATAAGCAGATGATGCGATAGTGTCTGTCAGGGAGCTTGTGTCCTTGGAGGTAAATGTACAGTTTTGTTATATAAAGGTTTATTTTATTAGAATCTCTACTGTCTGAGTCTGCTGGCACTCAAAACTCTTTCACTGCTACTATCAGATAACAGGGATATGTTTGCTGTTAAAATATTTACATTGTGTGAATTAGCAGTTTTCCCACAATAAATATTTGTAATCCGGAGTTAGGGCCTGAGCACTGAACAGTGCGAGGACCCTCTCGAAAGTGGAGGAATTATTTTTCTCTCAAACGAATTACATTACTGAGGGGATAAAGGTGCTCAAAAACTCACAAGACTTTGCACACAAACCAGAAATGGTACATTTTATGGGTCTGTAAAAAAATGGTTCTGTAGCACCCCCACAAAACTTGAAACAAAATAGCCTCCACAGTCTGTTTCACTTACTTTGGGCGGCAGTAGCTCAGTCCATTGCAACTTGGCTTGGAAACCGGAGGGTTGCCTGTTCAAGTCCCCGTCCGGACCAAATATGGAGCGTGGACTGGTGGATAGGTGGATAGTGCCAGTTCACCTCCTGGGCACTGCCGAGGTGCCCTTGAACAAGGCACTGAATCCCCCAACCGCTTGGGGCGCTTGTCTATGGCAGCCCCCTCACTCCGACATCTCTCCACTTTGTGCATGTATTGGTCCTGTTTATGCATGTGTGTGTATTTTGGACCTGAGTGTTAATGAAAATGGAGTCCCCTCAGGGGGATTAATAAATTATATAAAATTTAAAAAAAATAAAAACTAAGAAATTGGGTGTGCTCATGTATCATGTCCAGACCTACCAAGTAGTCTTTTGGAGCTGTACCCTAAATCCAACAGGAAGTCAGCCATTTTGAATTTACTGTGTAATTTCTGTGCATTTTTGGCCATTTACAATTAGTGGGCAGTGAAAATGAATTTTTCTTTATCTTGACAAGAGTGCTCCCAACCACTCATAAAATTTTCTCTTATTTCAGAGAAGAGCAAATGTAAGAAAACACTGGTTAATCCAAGAAATCAATGGTGACTAACAACAAAAAAAAGAACAAATGGTGTATACAAATGAAAATTAAAGAAAATTTGTTTGAATCTTGCTTCTTGCATGAGGCACAATATCTGGTACAACTTTCACAATAAAACAGTCAAAGGAAATAGTGTTTCTAATATTTTGTCCACTGTCAAATAGGTCAGTGAAAGTGGACATAACATTCACAAAGCTAGTATTTATTGCAGGACTGTTTATTGTAATACACTACATAGTGAAGCTGTTCATACTGCCTGATAATGTGTAAATGATTAATACAGTAATAGTGAAAGTGCATCTGTCTATGAATACTGTTATCAGACTAGTTTATAATATAGAGGTTTAAGTCTGACTTTGACTTCTCTTGAACAATGATCATAATCATTGCGTCAGTTTGTTCAGTCATGGGGCCCACATAAAAAATAACATGTTCTTGCATAGGTTGTTGACATCTGATAATAATAACTGGTACAGTGATGTTATGGTGCCTTGTGAGTAACATTTTAGTTGTTCTTACTCTCCAACATCAGTCAACCATAATTCACTCCTCTCCTTTGGTAGAAAAATAAGTGACAATTAGGACATCAACAGAAAAGGACAACTTTGAGGAGTCATGTAATCTGCTTACAGTTAGTTCATTTCTGAACTGCTTTACCTGTTGTGTCAAGTTCTACAGAGGTCAGACTGGCCAAACTATTCCTAAAACTGTAACAGTAAAAACGTGCCAACATGACAACTAAAAAACAAAATACTAAGTTTTCCTCGTGCTGTTTCATAACAACACACATGGAAGTTCATGTCTCCTTTGGCCTAATGTCCATCCTTTGTCATCTGAGTGCTGTTCTTTTGAGCTAGGCTGGAGATGGCCTGGGCCAGGTTGTTAATAGCCTCTATCTTCCTCTCCTCCAGAGCTTTCTGCTGGGCCCACATGTTCATCTTCCTCTCTTGCAGCTCCATGTACAGCTGCAGGACGTCCTGTGGAGGCCGGGCGGTGCAGGGAGCAGCCATCACAGGAGGTGTAGGGAGGATTGGGGTAAACCTCTTGCTGGCTATGGCTTTGCCCACTCTCGTCCCACTGAGTTTGGCCCTTCGCTGGGCTTCGATCTCCTCCCTGCTCTTACCCAGGACCTCATGCATGGCCTTGAAGAACTCCCAGTGGACGCTGGCAACCCCCAGCCTCTTGGCCCTTTCTGCGTTCTTCCTGTATGTGGCCAGCATGTTTCTCCACTTGAGGTCACACTCGTACGCCTTCACAGTGACATCAGTGACCTCTGACTCCCTTAGTTTGCCGTTCACCTTCTCTGCCACCATCTCCCAAAGTTTCTTTTTCTTGCATACTGGCTGGTCAAAAGCCTGGTCCATTTCAAGTCTGGTGTTGACAAGGTGCCATGTAGCCTGTAGTGTCCATATAAATTCTAGAGAGGAAAACAAAAGTACATCATGTCATTGGTTGAAAAATCATATGACCTTGCACAGAACCTCTCACCTGTTTTTTAAGTTTATTAATTTTATTTGAGACAGCTTGTCCAATTTGAATTAAGTTTTCAGAAGACATATAATTCTCGGTGATGTAACTGACTTTAATGCTCGTTGATGTCACTGTTATTAAATGAGTCACCGTTTATGATCATAATCACTGCAATAGGCAGAGACTGCGCACTCATCGGGTCCTCCTCGCTTCATGCGGTGACTGGATGAAACCTGTTTAACTTAATGTTGCGTGTACTGACCTGCTTTGGTTTTATCGGTGTCCACACTGGACACGACCGTCTCTTTTTCTTCCACTTCAGTACTTTGTATCACAATTGTCTCGATAACCTCCATGGTGTTAAACACATTTAAATAGCAGCCAAAGTAGTTCTTTTTATTTATTGTGTGTATCTATCGTGGAATTTAACAACATCTCAGAGGCACCGATGCGTTTTCTCGCATCGAGTAAAACGATGACTATAACAACGTTACGTAGCAGCTTGGGACGTGTAGTCCGTTTTAGTTGATACAAATGGGCTTTTAAGTTCTTTGGTGTACCAACTAAACTACAATCCCTAAACGCTGTGGAGCTCTCAATACAAGCCTCTCTTTATCATTGTCACGGGGAATGTAGTTTTTTAAGGGAGGAAATGCACTAGGGATGGTGAAAGGCAGCGAAATTTGAACTACAAGTCCCAACGTATATCTAACCGTCCCACCTCTTCACTCCCTGCTCCCTCCCTCGACCGCCCCTGTTTTGTTGTTTGGCTAAAGATGGCGTTAGCGGCTAACACAGGCGATTGCATTTTGTTTAACCAAAATTAGTCGACCAGTGGTGACAAAACATTGATCAAATATAGCTTTAATCCGTCATTTGATGTTTAAAAATACGTTACATTGAGATAATACACGTCCATCACGTAGAATAACGCTTGTTCGGCCTTCTCACGATGTAGGCCTGTTTTTTTAGGGAGTGGACCGAAGCTGTTGGAACTCCAACTCCCGTCGGCGAGTGCGGCGTCAGGTGGTACAACTTTTCCTTTTCCATGGTAACTGTAGTTTTCTGAGCGCACCAGGCTGTTGTTTTTGTGGAAACTTTGAAAAATATGAATGAACTCATTAAGAGCACAAATTCACCAGTTAAGTGAACGAGCTAACAGTTTAAAGTGAAAGGACATGCTATTTAATTTCTCCGTATTTCACTGGAAGCGTCCAGTGAGGCTGCACATTGTGTATTATATCTGTCTAAACTGAGAGGAGGAAAATTAGGGTAATTGAACCCGGTGCCTGCTAGGCAGAGGAACCATGGCTGCATCACCTGTGCAAGGTGACCGGAAACAATTTCGAGCACCCACCAGAGAAGGGCACCCATCATCATCAGAGCCCTCTTTGACCTGGTGCTTAGCTCACCTCTCCAAACCCCGATCAGGGGCTGAACATCACGGGCATGGCAAGGCTGACTCAGGCGGTGGCAGAGAAGGGGACAAGAGGTCCAGAATGTCTCAGTGGCGAGCCCTGGTTGCCATCCGGACCCAGCACATCAAGGGTGACAAGGCTGGCATTGCCCGATTCAGAACTCAAGGTGGTCTCCGGCCCCTGCTGGAGCTACTCAAACACCCAGAGTGCTCTAGGAAAACCCTGGACCTGGCTCTTAGCATCCTGGCAAACTGCTGCACTGAGCTGGAGACACGCATAGAGGTGAGCTGAAAGGAATAATTGTAAAAGCATTGACTGCTCTATTTATTAAACCATCCATTAAAACTGCTCTAAATGTCTGCCACTATAGGTCCGTAAACTTGATGGAATAAATATTGTAGGTAAGTGGTCATTTACATTCTTGTAACAAATTTGATCTAAGAATAACAACTTTTTTAAAAAACTTTTAGTACTGGTAAACATTTGTATTTTCACAATCAATCAATGGCATGTAATCTTGGAAAAACTCTTGACTGTCTCAGTGGAGATCCTGAAGGAAAATATGGCCCTGGAGACGGTCCAGAACCGAGCAGCCAGGGCTTTGGGAAACTTGGCCATGGATCCAGAGAGCTCTGCACTCATCCACTCTGCTGGTAAGTCTTAAATGTAAATTTGTCCCATTGCATCATTTTTAGCTGCCAGTTTTTAGCATTTAAAATGAGATGCAACTTGAATGGTACTTGAGTGGAAAGGATTATTTTGCAGTAACAGCAAAATAGTTGTAATTGTTATAACTTTGATTACAGTTGCTTTTAAAGAATAATCACCTGCCTGATGGACAGGTCTGTCAGTATTTGTGGTGTGATATTTACACTTTTACAATAAAAGAACAGGTGTGCAGCAGGATGTCCATCTTACATCTTCACATTTTGTAAAAGGATGAGCAGATTACACTAAGTTACTGAATTATATCATGTTTCCTCACTCAAACATTGTACATTTTGGATTTCTGCTTTCGTAGGCAGGTGTGATATTCCAACATTAAAGAGTGGAGTCTCTATATACTGGGAGTTATTAATAGTAAACAGCCATTCATACTGGGGAATTACTTCTTCTCTACGTATAAAATGACACATTATTAAGCCACAAAGAAAACAGAGTGTTACTTTTTACTTTTTTAAATTAATCAATCAACAGAATCTGCAATGATCTGGGTCATTTCAAGCAAACATGCCAAATATTTGATGGTAGTAGAGTATCCTTGTATGTAGAGTATATATACTTTTATAAGGTGAATAGCTTTGGTTTGGGATTTTTGTTCCCATAAAATAAGACATTTGATGATATCACCTTGGGCTCTAGGAAAGAGTGATGGGCATTTTTCACAGTCGTCTGATGTTTTATGGTCCAAAACATATCAGGCAACGTCAGATTAAACAATTATCCTTCAGAAACTGTGTATATGATCTGTGAAATGTTTTTGTGGAGATGTATTATTTGTCCTCAGATTAAAACCCAGCCTTTTTCTTTACAGGTGGTGTTCCTCTTCTCCTCCTTTGTGTGTCTCTTTCTTCTGGCCCGTCTTCCCCTACTGCTGCTCCACCCAAAGAGTCCTGTCCTAAACTGGAGTGCGCTCAGTCGGCTGCCCGGGCTCTCCTTTACCTCTCAGATACACCTTCTAACCGCCTGTCACTGCTCACCCAGGGGACCTTATCCTCTCTCGCCCCTCTCATTGCTCCAGAATATCCCCAGGGGCTGAGGCGGGCGGCACTCAGGACCCTCCACGAGCTTACCCGGGGCTGTGGTGTTGAATGCGCCAGGGAGGTGTCCCGTTCTGGAGTCCTCGCTCAGCTTGGTGTCATGGCATCTGGGGAGTCTGGTAAACCTTTTGAGGAGCTGGCACTGAAGACCCTGGCCAACTTGTGCTCCCAGGGCTGCCTGCGCCCCCTTGTGGGGTCACTGGGGGTTATACAGAAGTTCACTGAGGAGGTCAAGAGGGACCCACTGAAGTCTGGAGTCTTCCTCAAGGCACTGTGATTGTGCTGCAAGGAGGCGGTCAACCGGGCCAAGGTGAAAGAGAGTGGTGGATTGGAGGTGCTAATTGGCTTTCTGGCCGCCCATCAGAGTCACCCCCTCTCCCGACTCGTCATCCTGGCCTGTGTGGACTTTGTTTTTGATGAATCTGCTATGGAGCAGCTTCAGGAGTTAGGGCTGGTCCCTCTGCTTGTTGCTCGACTGGTTGAGCTCACCAGAGGCGAGGAACAATCTGCTGAGAAGATGGACGTGAGCCTCTCCTCCAGCATTTCTCCCACGGAGCTCCTGCCCTCCTCATGTTTTGACTCTTTTGACTTTCCTCCTCCTCCTGAGAGCTGCAAGAGGCAGGAAGCCGAAAAGGAGCAAGGTCTATGTTCATCAAGCTTTTTAAGTCTCAGGTATGGAAAATGAAAAGCACAGGTTTATTTATTTTCCATGTGAATTTTATCATACTATTTTCTGTTGTTCATCAACATGCTTATTGCTCTCTCTTCAGGTCCTGGTTGGTGTCTGAGGGATTGATCTCTTCAGAGGGGGACCTGCTGAATTCCTCTGGTGTTGAAGGGGAATGGGGAAGTCTTCAGATCCCACCGTCTTCGTCCCCTCAAACACCCTCCCCAAACCCTGATTCCCTTTCCTCTCCTAAAAACTCTTCCCCATTCAACCCTACTACCTCTTCCTCTTCTAAAAAAGCTGCTCAGCCTTCACTTATTACCTCTTCGGCACAGCCCCAGCTATCATCCTCATGTAAAATCCCTGATCCTCCTCCATCTAGTCCTCAACCTGCAGTTGCTTCTACACCCCAAACCCAGCCCAGTTCTAACACTATCTCCTCTCCCACGAAAACAGCCCAAACACCAGTCTCTCCATCAAAGTTCTCATCCCCTCACAAAAGGAGGCCGCGTCCTCATTCATCAGCTTCTTTGACTAAAGTTATTCTTGATACCCCTCCCTCTGTGCCCCGCACAATGGCCTACCACCACCCATACCACCCCGAACCCTGGACGCCAGAGTCACCCATCCTGCTGCTGCTGTCACGCTTTTCCCACGCCACCGACCCAAGTGCTGCTCTGGTCAGCGCAGGCGTCATGTCCGGCTTGCTCTACTACCTCACCCAGCACCAGGACCCCAGCAGCAGGTGCTTCCGTATGCTTTGCCGGCTGAGCTGTAACCCAAACTGTTTGCAGGCGCTGGTCCGAACTGGCTCAGTTGCGCTGATTCGTCACCATCTCTGCCAGAGAGGGGGAAGATTTGAGGGAGAGGAGAGGCAGACGGGCCGAGTGAAAGCCAAAGTTAAACAGCTTGGTAAGATAAAGATCTGAGCGAAATCAGTAATCTGCAACACAGTAACTTTAGAGCAGCAAAGTAGCATAATTTATAGCACAATCTACAGTTGCTCATTATAGATTCACATTTTAGTAATCTCTTATCATAATCTTGCATTATTAGCAACATAATGTATGTTATCACTTTAATCATTAAACTTAATTCTTCTGACGAGGGATGCACACATTCAGCTTTACATGTTCTAATACCTTAACTCAGCCATTAAAACTACCAATCTAAAGTGCTTTCTTTCTCACAGATTTAAAATTAGTTCACCTGACTGTGTGCAATTTGAATATTTTTTATTAACGCAACATGATGCCAGGGATAGCTGTGGCACTAGAAACAGAGTCAGCAGTAGTGCTGGAGTTACACATTGTATTGTGAAACTGCTTTATTCAGTGTTTCTATTGGTTTAAATCACCTGGTCCATTTGTTTTGGAGAGAAAAAGACCTCACTGCTAGTCGCCACTAGATCCCACCAAATAATGCACACTTCACTTTTAATCCAACTTGTTTAATTGGTGCATCTCTACTTCTGGCATAAATGAAACTGAATTGGCTTCTATAAAATTTCAGCATCATTTATTTTACCAGAGTAGTTTATAATTGTGCACTGACTTTCTGCAGGTTCTGCTCTTCTCAATAATCTGCGTATCCAGTGTGAGTCTGGATTTGGCTCTGGAGTTGTTGCCCATGTGATGCTGTCAGGATCTGAGACCGACAAGGTGAACTGTGCGCTGTCTCTGCCATTAATCTGCAGGTGAGTAGTAGATCTTAGAGTTGTCCCGATTCCAATAACAGTTTTGCAAGTGCCTCTGATACTGCCTGAAATGCTGGCTCATGTATTGGCAAGTATGCGCATCTGTGCACTGATCTGATGTAATTTTTAAGATAAACTTTAAACTTAATTTAAATTGTCTCAGCCTCGTCACCACTGTCGCTTTCCAGCAAGCGCTCTGATGCGATTGAGTCTCCTTAAGAAGCTTTATAATCCAGCCTTGAACAGCAGTATTTTTTAGAGGCATTTAAAAACAAATAAATCCAACAATGAATGACCTCCGTGATTATTTATCAATTTATCCATGTTGAATGGATAAATATACAGTATATTATACTTGTTATTCAGTTTTTACACATTTTGTTTGGCCTATTGACATAGAAATGGGGTAGTAGTATGGGCTGACATGTAGTGCAGGTGTTCGAATCATTATCGGGAAGTAAAAAATGGAACACCTCTATTAGATCTGTAAGAATAATGACTGTAAGTGACCATATCTGAGCTTTACAAACCCTCCTTTTCTCCAACAGCAACAAGTCCCTGTTAAAGAAACTTCTTCTGGACAGCGGCGGACTCCTCCTGGCTCTGCAGCCTCTTGGTTGCGATGACGATGATGTGGATGAAGACCAGCCTACTGAATGTGGGAAGTTGCTTTCTGATTGGTTTAATTCACCACATTCAGGCCTGACTTCACAGCTCCACTCACTATTCTCCTCCCTCCTTATTGGATGCCTGTCTACTCTGACTGGTGGCATCAAAATGGAGCTTAACAAAAAACATCTAAATCCAGTAACGACGCAGTCAGTAGAAAAAATTGACCCAGTTTCACCTCCTCCCTCAAAAAGGCCTCGCCTGGCCGACACCTGTCCTTATGGCGTCTCGAACTTTGACCTCCTCTTGCTGCTGGACGACGGGACTCAGGTCCGAGCCAACAGGGAGGCTGTGACTGGGGTGGAGGGGACAGACGGAGTCACCTCTGAATACTTTTGGGCTCTGTTGAGAGGCGGATTTGGAGAAGCTCTGGGTAATGCAGGTGAAGCCATCCAAATTAAAGATGTCAGCACAGGTATGCTGCTACCAGTGCTGCATTACCTGCATGGATGTCGCTTCACACAGGACACAAAAACAACAAGGGAAAGTGATGAGGGACAGAGTAGAGGACAGTGTCAGGTCTTGGACAAATTGGTCTTTGATGGACTGGGGATCTGCCAAAAAGAGACAGAGGAGTGCTCAACAGATGACTTTGCTTTCCAGAAATCAGCTCTGGGCGAGATGATGATTGGGGCATGCAGATTTTTGGTGACTGAGCTTAAGAAAGAGCTGGAGGATCTGTGTGTGTCTCTTCTCCTGTCCTGTTCCACCAAGGCTGCCCCCACAGTGGACAAGGTGGAAAAGGCTGCATCTAAAATGGATCAAGAATGCGTTGAGTCTGCCGAGGAGAACCTGGCTAATCGAACATCGGAGTTAGAGTTGACTGGCTTTGAGGTGCAAACAGAAAATTTACCAGGACAGACAAAGAAACCAAACAGTTTCCCACACCCAACGGACAGTAATAAAACCTGCTCAGCTGGAACAATTCAAAAGGCCAGCAGAGCACTCAATACGACTTTCAACCAAAAGACAATCAAAAGCATCACCCCGGTTTCCAAATCAAGCTGTGTGTCAGTGGTGGACAAATCATGTGACCTGGAAGTTATAAGGTTAAGACCAAAGAACTTGATGAAAAGTTCAGCACAGGGTCTAAAATCAGCAACTCAGGACTCCCTCTCTTCCTCAGAAGCCAGCGCAGGAGACAACACACACCTGTTTGCTCTCCTCCCCCAGGTATACTGGTTTTCTCAGCGCTACAGCTACCCAGCACTGGGTCGGGCCTGCCTGTCTCTACTGCTGGGCTTTCAGGACTGTCCTCAGCCCTTCTTGTCCTCTGCCCTTGCTGGGGATTGCCTTCGCAGACTTGCCAGAGAGGCGGACTGTACAGAGACTCTAAAGCAGGATCTACTAAGTCTGGCCACAGTAGCTCTGAGCTGAACTAGGGGCGGAAACGTTGAGTGTAGTAGACTATGGCATGAATTCAGAGGGCACAGATTTCAGTGAGAGTAAACTTTGGGACTTGCTTTATGCTTCTAGAGTTGCCATTGTATAATGTATGGAAAGTTCAAGTGCAGGTTACGACAACAGCACGATTACCTAAAAAACAACAACTGCTTTATGAAGTTCTCTAGCACTAACAGGACTGACTGTTGATTTATTTTCATAAACTGGAAGCATAAATTACAATTTAGTTTTGATGTAATCTGATATAAACTGTAGCCGTCCCAGCATGACATAATTGTATTATAATTTACTGACATTTGTATTGTGATTTTTTTTTTTTTTCCTGAAAAAATTCAAAGAAAGTGTCCGCTATCATTTGATAAATGTCATTTAGCTGGAAGTACTGGAATTATCAGGGTTGGTCTAGAAGCCAGTTGTTTATTTTGTACATAAAAATAATATGGATTAGGAGATATATAGTGTATAGATTCCAAATGTCCCATAAATTTAAGCCACTGAATATAATGTTGGAACATCATTTTGCCTTTGCTTCCTTGTTGTTGGTATGTGTTGATGTGCAGAGTGGTCACAGTAATTTAACTGAGTGGCTTTAGGGAATGTCACTCAGTTTTATTAATTCCATTACACGGCAGAGCGAGAGAAACAGCTATTGGTTGAACTGCCATAAAATTTGGAGATATGGTCTCAAGAAGATGAAGCGTGATTAGTTTGGTATCCCCAGGAGCAGCAATGTGACTCATTGATGTGTTTTTTAATAGTTTTTTGGACAACAATGAAGCTGTGGCACACTGGAATTAGCTACAAAGGCTTTGGCTTCACAGACGATATTTGTTTGGATCAATTCACTGATGGTTTTGGTCTTTTCGTGGAATTTTTTAACATTAAGCCTTCTATTTATCTTTTTAAGCCTGTATGTGCAGGTTTTGAACTAGTCAAACTTTGCTGACCCCTGGTGTTAGTTTATAAGAAGACAACTTCAGACGAAATGTGAAAACACTTCACTTAAAAACTTTGAGTCATGTCTAGAAGGTTGATTATATTGAACACAGCACGAAAGTAAACAAAAATAATGGCATTCATTGTGATACAGCATAAAGTGGTTTTATTTATGTCAGGATGCACCGCTCAATGACGATGCTGCTTGGGCCCTCAGTCAGAATATTTAAGGCAGTATAATTACACTGCGGACTGGAGTTTTCAGTAGCCAGCAAAACACAGCCAAGAAAGGTGACTGATTCTCTCAGTGATGGGAGTCTTCATAGCCATCGGGCAGAGGATTGGTGTGAGGGTTGTGGAACAGAGAGTGGTTTCCATCGCCCCAGGGGAATTTCTGGAAGGAGACATATGAACATATAGGTAAAATCAACAACAGAAGGAAAAACTTGCTGAAAGAGTAGGGGTATTTGGGTGAAGGCAATGGCCACTATAATGCTTTTTACACAGAGATCACACTATAGGGCCAATACAAGGTCCCTTCTTTGTGCCACCTTTGCATTTTTGCACAGAGCCAAATGACGGCAGCATCATTCAGCTCCAGAGTGTGATTTTAGACAGCATGTCAGCATTGTGGAATCAAAATAGGCGTGGCAGGCGTAATGTAACAGTGTCAGTCTCTAGTGTAACATATAACATACATGTTGACAGTGATAAACAATGGCATTACATGGCATCAACAGTAATTTACTGTAATATGGCGGCTGATTTCGTCCTCTGCTCAGAGATTAAGGAGCTCCAGGATCTAATTATTTTCCCAGTTTGTGGACATTTTCGTCCACCGTTCCTCTTCGAGTTAGCTGCTAACTGCTAACAGCTACTTTTTAAAATCCCCCATGGTATGTTCCACGCATAACACGTCATCAGAAGCGTCACATCTGTGCCACACATTCTCCCATCCTACCAGCTGTCCTGTTTATACATAATTTAGACCAAATTTCGGTGCTGTTATTACCCCTGATACCAGCTTTGAGGTGAGACTACTCTTTCCCCCCATTCCGCACTTGTACCTTTTATACAGAACAGTGAGGTGGCATAATTGCATCAAATTCCCGCCTTGAAGAGGCAGCTTAAGGGACTTATGATTGCAACCTGTGGAGTAACCCCCTACTGGCCATTAGAAAGAATGCAGGTTCAAGCCACTTAACCATTTTATAGACTACAGCCTGAGACTCACCTTGGTGCGGATACGCAGGTGTGAATATGGCACAAACTCTGGTGGCTCATGCGAATGCGCCTTCATCTTCATGTAGGCGTTGGCCATGCAGACTGCCACACCAGGAACAGCTAACACAATGGTCAGAATCTTCCAGGTCCTTGCTGAGGAAAAAACACAACCAGTAAAATTATATGACTAAAGACATAAATAGAGCATGAAGATAATGAGAAAGTAAAATTACAGGAGCTTCCTCTCTACAGAGTTCATATCAATAATAAAATATAGTTCCTGATCATTTGCCAAACACCATGAGCATGCAGGATGGCTGCCAGCTCTGCAGACATTTCAGTTAATGTTCAACAAAAGGCTCCTACAGTATGGACTCAGAGATGCTGTAGTAGCATGAATCTGGAGGCTCTCATGTATTTTGGTTGTATTTGGTTTGAGAGTGATAGCAATAACACTTACCTCCTCCTTCATGGCTTGATTGTGACGCTGCAGCAAGCACACGACGAGCAACTAAGGCAGCAGGAGACACAGACATCTGTTGAGGGGGAGAGAGAGAAAGAAAAGGAGACGATTGAGAAACGTTTGCAGCATACTTTAATGCTGCACACCAGCCTAAAATTATTATTATTTTTTATTATCCTAATATCAAGGGAGCCTTCATAAGCTTTACACTGAGCCAAACACAGCCTTAAACATCTTATTTTTCTAACATATTAAGTAATTTGCAGAATTAATAGGTAATCTGTCATGTGGCCCTGTACAAACAAACAACATGTATAAACAACAGGCAGTTTAGGCTGGGCCTACTCGAGCTGCTCTGTATAAAGGGTGTCGGTAGCCCTACTGTAAGCAAAATAAGGTCAAATACTTACTGTTATTCAATCAAGCAATACTCAATATGCTTTATTATCCTCTTGTTTTTCTGGCAAAGTCGTTGCTGGTAGTATTTTCTTCTCCTTCCTGCTTGTTTGTCCTTCAGTCTGTCCTGAGCTGAACTCAGAGTGTGTCAGACTCCTCCCCATTTCAATATGTCCATACACCAGGAAACCGAGTTTATATTTGGGCAAGTGCAAAGGGTGGCTGATATGTGACGAAGAGGAAGAGGATTGGGGAGGAGGTGTGTTGTTGGTCCTGCGCAGAACATTAAGCCTGCAATACAAAGACTAAAATAAGGGCTGATTAATCCTTATTAACTGACATAAACAATGTGTTAGGTTCCCATTTTTGTTTCACTTTGAGAGTGCTACTGAAAGCCAGTCAGTTCACTGAAAACACCTGTGGCTCAGCTGCAGAATAACCTCCAGTTTATTAACTTTTTTTCTTTTTTAATTTATTAATAATCTATTACTTTAAGTCCTTTTTGGTCTGTCTTGCCCAGGATTAGAACAGACGAACAATGATATCCTGAAGAAGAGGTGAAATATTGAAGCCATTGAGCCTCATATTATTAATAGTATAAGTTTAAGTATACTAATATTTATATAAGTTTAAAGGTCAGGTAAGTTTTTAATTGCAAGGCTTCCAAAGACTTTGGCTGTCATATGTAACATCAGTTTCACACATATAATAATATCATGTCAACTTAACTTGTCAACTTTTAACAGGAAACATTTCTTAGTTAAATATTATAATATATGCAAACATATTGAGAAAAATTAGGAGAAACTGAGCAGATCTATTCATTTTCTTAATACAGCCTGTACTATTACACTGCTGCCCACCAAGCCAAAATGACTGTGGATTATGTGCACATTTGTAGACCTACATGTGAGTAAACAACAGACATTAAATCTTAAATATAGATTAATATAAACAAAGTGTTTAAGGTAGATGGGCTTTCATTTGGCAGTTCAGCCGGAGCACGAAAAGCTTGCAAGCATTTGTACAAGATATTGAATCGCACAGCCTCATATCATTTGTTTACCTTAAGATAGACTGTCCACCAGATGGGGTAGTGCTGCTATGGGTACACTGTCCTTAAATGCTCCTTCAGACTACTTTGGTCATTTGTGTTAGTGTTAGGCAGGTTCACCTCTGCAGTAAGGTTACCTCCTCTTGGCTTGTTGTTTTGACCGCTGAAGTAACACTGTATAACCTTTAAAATAAAAGTACTGGATTTTAGCTGAAGTATCTGCACAGAGCCTGTATCTTTAGTTTGACTTAAAGACCAAGGTCATTTTTACAACTTTAAAGTTTGAGTACATTTACTCAAGTGCTGTTCTTAAGTACTATTTTGACATACTTGAGTATTTCTATTGTATTCTATTTCCTACTTCTACTACTTATCTGACAGCTTTGGTTACCTGTTACTTTTTACTTTAAAAACATTAGATATGGTCATACAATATGTCATAACATATGACACTTTGAATTCAGGACTTTAACTTGTAATTAAGTATTTTTAAACTGTAGTATTTCTATTTTTACTTAAGTAAAGGACCTGAGTACTCCTTCTACCCAGTTATCAAAAAAGACCTCTATTATTTTTTATACTGTATACTCCCCACTGTTATGTGTTCATTCTTGATTTTCAGGATATATTAGAATAGCCTTTGTTGTCTCTGTCTGGGCAGCTTCAGGCTGCAGTGCAAACAGCAGCCAGAGCCAACAGTGATGTCAGCCAGTCATGCAAGCAGCCAGTCTGAACGTCTCGCACTTGTGTTATTGTGGGCAGAGGTTAAATACCATCTCAGTTTGAAGAATCTGTGCACAGACATGTATGGGCAGGTAGACACACAAAGCTTTGCATGTGCTGCAGGTGTGCTGCAGGAGCTGGGAGAGGCCAACACTCCCTCCCTTCAATCTGCAGACATATTATTAAGATCATGGCTTGAATGCCTGAATTCCAATGTACAGTCTACATAAGGCAGAACTTAACTTAAACATGTGTCTGTAGGCAAGTATGGAATATATTGCAGAAATTTCCAAACTCAGATAAAGGAACAGTGTTTAGTGAGAGCTGGCGGTGGGGATTGCAGACTTCAACCAGCTGAAACTTCTCCTGATTAGAATTTCTTCAGTGTTTACTGCTCAGGAGGTTTTTACTGGTAGCTGAATTACCTGCAGAGGTCTCTTCCTCTCCAAAACAAATAAATCCAGTGATTTAAACTGGTAAAACACTGGGTAAAGCAGTTTTACATTACAATTTAGGGTTTCTCTTATGCTGTTGGGCATGTTGCAGATGAGCTGTTTGGCCAATGCCTGCTAATGTGTGCTCACAGTTTTCTCTGACAATTTAAGATCCAGATTTTCAGGAGGTTTTCAGTACAAATAAACCTGGTGATTTAAACCATTAAAAACACTGGATAAAGCAGTTTCATGATATAAATCAATGTATTTATGACGCTCTCATCACT